CACACGCACACACACACGAGTCTCTGCTGCAGCTCACTCTGCGCTCGGGCATCACACACACAGCAGGTACTGTCATGATGATTTCTAGATTATTGCTGTTTGTTTTGACTGTAAACTGAGTCATTTCAGAACGACTCTCTGAATCAATTATTCATTCATTCACCTGATTCTGAAAACAGCAGCTTAAACTCCAGACGAACGTGCGTGTGTGTGTGTGCGTGTGTGTGTGTGTGTGTGTGTGTGTGTGCTGAAATATAATAATAATAATAATATTCTCCTGATGTTGTTTCAGGCATCTTGAGGATGATTCCGCCTGGAGACTGTCTTTACGCCGGGAGGAAGAGGAGGAAGCCCATACAGAAGCAGTTAAGACTTTATTGATTATCTGCACTGATCAACTCTTCTGATCAGAGCTTTCTTCACTGCATGTTCTCTCTGTGCTCTCTGCTCTGTAGAACTGAAGCTGCAGCTCAGCTCAGCTCATGAAGGTCTGTTCCACCTCTTCAGTCTCTGAGATATAAGCGAATGATTATTGATTATTGATTATTAAAGTCAGATATTGTGGATGCAGAAGAGTTTTAATAAGTCAGGATCTCCTGAAACACTTCTGTTCATAACCCAAACAATAATACTGTGAGAACCGCAACAGATATTAATATGAGTGATATCATCATCAAGAAGATTAATGTGATCATGATTTCACACAAACAACACATGAAGAAGCCCAATCTCCTGAAGACTGACTGCCCTGTGAAGCGTCTCGGAGAGAGTCTGAGTCTGGAACTCAACATGTGGATCATGAGTGTGAACAGTGAACCTGCAGATGAAGAGCAGATGGAGGATAATAATAATGATAATACTAATATAATAATAATAATAATATAATAATAATAATGATGATAATAATAATATAATACTAATACTGAAGAAACCTCAGGAGATCATCACGGCGCGCAGACGCTCTCAGTTTTATTGAGAATATATCTGAACACTGATCTGAGAGCAGCAGAAACTGGAGAATTATTGTGTCTCTATACTAGACATTGTGTGTGTGTGTGTGTGTGTGTGTGTGTGTGTGTGTGTGTGTTATATTTCTCTGATAAAGTTATTTAGCCCCCCCCCACACACACACATATACATGTACATACGCTGCCAGTCTAAAATTTGAGCTCAGTTTTTGTATGTTTTTTATTATATTAAAATGATTCTGTTGATCAAGACAGCATTTATTGATTGTAAAAAACTGTTAAATATGTATTTATTACATGTATTATTACTGTTGTATGT